AATACAGACAACATACTGCTTTTCAACAATTATATATTACTGACTGAAAGAAAAAGTCCAGTTCACCACAATGTCATTACATGATGCTAAAAACATCACTTTAGAAAGTGCAGCCTAAGATAAACACAAGTGCTTCATGCTGCTCAAAATATGTATTGTCATGCATCACTATGCAATAATAATAATAATAATAATTGCTTACACTTATATTTTTCTTTTCTGGACACTGGTACTTTACTTTACAGGTAATGGGGACTCCCCTCCACCACCAATGTGCAGTATCCACCTGGATGATGCAACAGCAGCCATAGTGCACCACACTCACCAGCTATCAGTGGGGAGGAGAGCAGAGTAATGAAGCCAAATCATAAATGGGGATTATTAGGAGGCCATGATTGGTTAGGGCCAATGGGAAATTCAGCCAGGACACTGGGTTACACCCCTACTCTTTTCAAGAAACACCCTGGCTCTCTGACCCACAGGACAGCTCATCTGAAGGATGGCACCTGTTTACAGTATAGTGTCCCTGTCATTATACTGGGGCAATAGGACCCACATGGACTGCAGGGTGAGCACCCCCTGCTGGCCCCACTAACACCACTTCCAGCAGCAACCTTAGTTTTTTCCAGGAGGTCTCCCATCCATGTACTGACCAGGCTCACACCTGCTTAGCTTCAGTGGGTTGCCAGTTGTGAGTTGCAGGTGGATATGGCTGCTGGCTGAGCGCCTCACACATCAAGTAAATTAAATTCTTGTTAGTATTGTGAATTCATATAGAATGGTTTTAATACAGAAGCCTTGTGCTCTCTGTCAAGATTGAATTGTAATTCTGGAACATTCAGGTTCATCCAATATTTCCCAGGTGCCTCCAACCTCTGATATAAGATGACAAGTCTCCTTTATTGCCAGTTTAAAAATTGATCATTTCAGCAACTGAAAGACGGGCGATGAGCTGCGAATAGTCTAATTTAGTCTAAAGGAAGAGCTTCTACACTACAATTACTTTGAAACTCTGCTAAAGTAGGCTAATTTATCATGCAGGTACTCTTATTGTACTCAAGCAAGATTTTTCTAAAACTGTGAGGGCTTTTTGTTAAATTTCTGAATGAAATTTATCTTTGTCCTTTTTGAAAAATATTAAGAGTCTTTGAACTGGGAACATTCATAGTGGGGCTGTTGGAACATAATGGCTGTTTCACATTCTGCTACACTTCAGAGGCAGATGAAGTGTAGGGAACCTTTGGCATGAAAATGTCTATATACATGCAAGGCATGAAATTAGAATTATGACACATTCTGTGTAGCTTCACTTCTTAATCATTATCGATAAAAAAACAGTATGCATACACTGTGTATAATCATAAAAGAAAAAGTGCCACCACGTTTTTTATTTTAGTGTTTTAATAATTAGGGGTCAAATTTAGATAAATAAAACTTGAACATCATTGAATTAAAGGAAGTAAAGGTGCTTTAGATATAGAGACCTGACAGCCAGGTGAAGAGGTGGTTCTGTAAACTGCAACTGTCAGGGCTGTAAGAGCAAACAAGAGTCCCAAGTAACAGTCATGACTTTGTGCTTTCTATATCTACCCGGCAAGATTATGCAGAAGATGTCTACTTTATTTAATCAGCACATAACATAAATATTGCCATTTACACAGTGTTTATATATAATTTATATAAAGTATTTTTTAGTATTGTTCTTAGCACTATCATTATTGTCTCTATGGTCTCTTGTGTGTTTACCATATACAGTACATGTATCTGTACTTGTTAGTTAAGTCACTTGTGCAGTTAGGCATTCTCAGTTGCTGAATAATTTGGTATTTTTTAAAATATTTTGTTTTTCATTTTGTATTTATATTTTTGAGTGCCCAGGTTCTAGTTGGTTATGCCACATTGTGTGATGAAAATGAGGTTTTAATGAGTGATTACATCATTTGGGCTTTATAACGTCACCCTTGCCTTGGGCAAGTTTCAGAAGACAAAGGGAAACAACAGGAAACATGACAACTACCCGATGGAGGGAATTGACCACCTGCCTCAGAGAATACACAGTATTCACAACTTCTGCCTTACAGGTAAAAAGAGCATAATTACCTTCAGTAGGTGGTTAAGCAGTAAATATTATGATTGTAAGATTTTATGTAGTACTGTTTCCTTTTTGCCTGTAGTAATTAAAAGATTGTTTTATCAATTCTGATTTAATCATCTGTTTTGTCTTCTAATCCCACATTACAGAAAGTGAGATTATGTACAGTATATATGTATATTTTTATCCCTGCTATTGTCACGATCGTAAACCCCTCCTCTTAAGGGTGCTCCAGCCCTTCCTTGTTTTTTACTCATTTCCTGCACCTGCTCCCTGTTCCAGCCCTCTTTTCAGTTTCCCTTAAAAGCCAGACGCTGACGCTATTCCAGGCTCTGCATTGGTTTTCATTTTAGTTCCTGTATTTGTTCCTGTTCCCATTCCCGTGCCGGTTCAGAACCGGTTCTTGTTTTTATCTTGTCTGTCTTGGATGGATCGCCTGGCTTTGAACTTTTTCCCCGTTTTTGGATTCCCCTTTTGGACTCAGCTCTGGACTGTTTGCCTTGGCCACACCTCCCCCAACCACCAGCACACCTATCTGGGTTTGAGGAGTTTGTAAAGGTTTTGAAAACAAAAACGGGATTTGCATTTTAAAGCTGCTTAAAAAAAGGAAAATCCTTGTTGAGATCAATCTGAATGGGCCAAAGCAGACAGGTACTGGCACGAGAATAAGAGAGTGCGGAAGATCCTACGAAGAAAGAAAAATCTGGAAATTCAGCTTTATAGAAATCATTATCATATTCTTTGTAATACACCATGTATGGATAACTTTTAATTTGTGTATTGTTCATACTTTGTGGAATTGCAAGCTCTTCCCTTCCCTTATTTAGATTTTTATTCACACCCCTTCTAGTGATGATCGCAAATCCACTATTCCAGCAGTTTAACCCTCCACAATACCGTGAATGAAACAAAGGTCTTTATTTCATTGTGGGATTCAAAGTGAACAAGATACCTGGGTTTAGATTTGGCCCCATAACATAATGCTGCTACCACCATGCTGGACAGTAGAGGTGTTGTTGACTAAGTGATGCACTCTTGGATTGCCCTAAATTGAGTGCTTTAATTTTAGACTAGAAAGTACCAATTTTGACTCGTCGATCCACAAACCACATTTAACCACTTTTGCCACAAGTGTAAAGTATCGCTTAAATGCTCAGCTGCAAAATTCATGTGGGATTTGAGTTTTTTTTTCCATGCTGCCAGGTAAGTCTTTTGATAGGGGTACTATTGACTTTATGGACATTTTCTCCCATGTTAATCATTGAACTCTTTGCCTCACTGTGGCATCCCTAACCACTTTCCTCCTTACCCAGCTGGTCAGTTTTGAGGGACAGCCTACTCTAAATAGTATCTGGGTAGTATGATACAATTCCACTTCTTAATGATAGATTTCACAGTGGTCAAAGGCACATTCAGTGTCTGTGCAATATTTCTATACCTTTCTTTCATTTTTACCGCTTCTACAACTTGAGTCATCTAGAAAGCTCCTTGGTCTTTTATTCGTGGATGAATCTTTGCATTCACTACCTGACCAAGGTCACTGAGAGACCTTGGGGTGTATATACTGTATATTAAAATCATAATTGTGAACCACAATTATTCCACAGACAATGGCCATTCAGCTAATTCATGAAAACAAAAAAATAAGCATCAGATTTGGTTTGCCATCGCACAAAAAAGCAGGTGTACACTTATGTAATCAACATATTTTAATTCATGATTTTTATTTGACGTTTTTACTGGGATTTACCTTCTTTCATTCATACAGATGTTGAGTCTGAGCACTCACATTTTGATTGAAAACATTTGTCATTCAACCACAATACTTTTGAAAGGCACTGTACTTTTACTTCTATTACACTACTTAATCACAGAGTACAAGTGTCTTTTTACATTACAAAAGCTTTTTGCTGCAGTATTGCTTTCTACAGCAGGGACTTTATTCTTTTCTGACAGAAAGTTCACCTTGTCTTTCATAAAAATCACCTGCCACCAGCACTGAATTTCACATAAGGCTTCTCTTGGCTACTGACATCTCAATGCTACATTATAATTTCCAATGAAGTGCATACTGCAACTACTTTGGAAAAAACTTCAGAAACCTCAAAAGGAATAAAAACAGGATCTTATTGTCATTTATATTTTTCTTCACATTTGTAGAGAAAGATATACAGTATTTGATATAGGGATGTAACAGCAAGGCAGGCAGTATACTGAATATTTTCATGCAGAGGGATAACTTTCAAAGCCATTTATATAACAGTTTGAACTGATGACATAAAAAGCCTAAGGGTTAAAGCCTGCTGCATATGATATCAGCCAAGTAGATGTGAACAAAACACGTGTTCTTTCAAAGTCATTATAGGAACAGATTGCACACTGTCAGGTAAAGGTCAATGGCTAGATAGTCTAATCGTTATTTTATTCTATGATAACCACACCTGTGACTTCAGATGAGTTTAATCCCTGGCACCTTGCCTACAGGCATCTGCTGTGGTTACTGTTATATCAGGTATACTTGCTCCCCAGTGTGCCCTCTGCACCTATCAATCTCCATCCTTAATTGTGGCAGCCTACATCTGGATGAGTACAGATGTACACTGCCATTCCCTGAAGAAATGTGCAAGCTCATGGAAATTATGACTTACGAAGTGCTCAGAGGCAGGGCTTAAGAAGTAAATAATAAAACTTTGATTTTCTATTTGAGTCAATAACAACAAAAATCAGGCATAAGATTTGCATTTCACAGTTATCCTTCAAGAATTGTTTAATGGAAAAGTCCCTTAAATCAATTGAAGCATTTTAAAGCTGTGTGTGAGACCAGTTATTCAACTATGATTAATGAAGGCTTCACATCTGGCAGGTAATACAGGACTACTCAGGGATAGTCCTGAAATTGTTAACTTACCCCAGATACAATGAGCTCTCCACCTAGGTTCTGGACCTCAGCCTTCACCTTGCTGCAGATGTTGAGCTGATGGCAATAGAGAGCAATTCTCTGCAAGTATGCCAACAAGTCCTGCTTGCAGGCTGAATCAGGACACTGTAAGACAAAAACAATACACTTTTGTCAGGTGACAAGGCTGTTGTGGTTTGAAACGGGAGGCAACCTAACATATCAAGCTGCATTTGGATCATGCACACAATTATGCTGTAACCTAAAATGATTTCTCCACATTGAACCATAGAGAAAGGTTCTTTAAGAAACAGAATTTAAAGAACCTAGCATTGTGGCACATGGGAATTTGTTATATGAATGCACACACATTAAAAAAGAAGCCAGTGTTTTTTTGAATGCATATGATTATATCAAGAATCCACTCTTCAGCTGAGGAAGACACTAGCATTTTAATGGAGTGTAATCCTGAGTGTAAGCCTGTTGAACAGGCTATAGGCTGTTGCAGAGGTTGGATTGTTTAATGTATTTTGATTTTGGACAATTGTAGTACTATCATCATTTCTATCAAATTTAGTATCTTAAAATACTTGCTTTCCATGTGTACAGTACTTGAGACTGAGCTGAACAATCTGTATTACCTTGACAACCTCAATCAGAATATAAAAGAGCTTTCATGCAGTCACAAGATCTAATGTGAGATTTCAGATGGTCTATATCGTGTTTCATGACAAAGGAGGAAGCAGTGACAGATTTTTTTTTCCTGTGGACAACAGGCATACATTAGCTTTATAAATATCAGATAAGGTAAACTGTAAGGCCAAGAAAAGGAAGCTGGCATCTTTTCTTGTAGCATAATGTACATTTCATTTTATACCTTCAGTTTATCTGATCAAATGTCTAGCACAGAAAGAAACACAATACACTTTTAATCCATGAATGAACTTCTAGATTCTCTAAATGGTCTTTCAAATCAATAAAACATTTTGTTCTAATTTGGAGTACTACACCACTGGAATAAAAAAAGGTGTTGACATGCTAAGCTCATAGTGCTTAGATATATTCATGTTACCCAGAACCAGGTCTACAAGACAAATCCACTTGAAATTATTAAGAAGATAAATTATTTATAAGGGAAATAGGCTTCTTAAAAGAGAACTCATCCCTTTAGCCATGACACAATTAAAAACAGATCAATTTCAGTAAAACTACTCTCTATGAAAACTAATACAATCACAGAAATAACAAGTTCCAAGCTGTTAAGTTTGAAATCCATTTTGGTTTTATAATGCAGAAGATAAAACCTGTGGAAAGCATGTAAATGTATGGATGGGTAGTGTGTGTCCAACTGACCATTAAACTGACAATGCTTTACAGTTTAACTAGTTTAGAGGTTAACTGTTTACTTTTGTTTTGATAAAAGAGATGTATTTTGTCAATATTTTCAGATTTTTACAAGGGAACCCTAGCTTTAAAGGTCTATGGGTGATATTCATAAACCTTTTAACTTCACATTTATTTTAAGAGGATAGCACAGTGGTGCAGTCATTAGCATTGCTGGGGCCTTGGGTTTAATTCCAGACCTGAGGTGCTTTCTGCATGGAGTTTGTACTGTACTGTGTTTCCATGGGTATTCTCCGGATGCTCCAGTTTCTTCCCACAGTCCAAAGACATACTGTTTGATAGATTGGTGTTTGGAAAAATTAGCCCCGGTATGAGGTTGTGAGTGTTTGTGTATCTGCCCTGCGATGGATTGGCATCTAGTCCAGGGTGTACCCTGCCTTGCGCCTGTTACTTGTTGACCCTGAATTGGATGGAGAGGTGAGAAAATGGATGGATAGATTAATTTATCACATGATTCATTTTTAAATAAAATACTCCAACTTGCTTTAGATGTTTTTTGCACTCTTATCCAGCTCTAAGGATCTCAGGTAGTTCACTGCCATTGCATAACTAAGTTGTTATGGTGTGATATTGGCAACAGTTAAATTTCTCAAAATTCACAATCCACACATTACAGTGTGTTGTACTAAATGAGTCATATACAAAACACTTAAACTAAGAAGGGACAAAAATCATTTTATTTCTTGCAAACAATCTGTCATAACTAATTTACATTTATTTTTTTTTGGCGATTAGTTGTCATCAGATTAAACTGTAAAATAGATACAACATGATAGTATTAGGAATATGTTATACAATTAACTCATAAGTTGTAATTAGTCATCACACAGTATCTTCTATTGGTATTCTTGCAAATTATTTTAATAAAAACATTTCATGTTATTACTGACATTACTCGATCAACTGGGAAGAAATTTGGGAAGATCTTAAGCGCAGATGTGCATTCTACCAGGTATACAGGACATGGCAGTTATTATATCAGTGCATGCTGACTTTGTTGAAAATCAACAATCAAGTTTTTCAAGTCAGAAGCACGTGTACGATTTTGAGTTGGAAGTTGGTTAGTACATTTTTCTAATTGGAAAATGGTCACAAGATGTCTTTGGTGATACCAGAGAGCACCAAAACAGCTAAATGCATGTTTATTGTTGGTATTTGGAACTCTTCACTCAACTTTTGAAAATGGTAAAGAGTACACCCTGCACTGTGGTGCATCACAGTATCTGTAGTGACAAGGGACTAGGCTATGAGTACCGAAGAATGCCCCAGGCATTCATTCTGATGAAGCAGACTTCACTGGTCCATTGGTGCCACAAAAAAAAATCCACAATATGTATTTCTTAAAATGCCCCCTATACCACTGGTGCAATAACCAGTAAAGAGAAGTCCATCCATCTATTTTCTTCTAAGCACTTTATTTAGTAAAGGGTCATGGGGAAAGCTAGAACCTAACCCAATAAGCAACAGATGCAAGGCAAGGTACCCCCTGTGCGGGACACCAGTCCATTGCAGGGCATACACAAACACAATCACGCACACACTCACACCAGGGCCAGTTTTTCACAGAATTCAGTTAAATACCAGTATGTCTCTGAACTTCGGGAGGAAACTGGAGAACCTGGCAGAATGTAAACACAGGGAGAACAAACAAACCCTACACAGATAGCACCAACAATTCTAACCACTGTATCACTGGGCAACCCATGAAAGAAAGTCATCATTGAAAAATATTTCATTTTCCACTTATTTCACTTATTTTACCTTTCATGTATATTGATCACTAGTAAATATAGTTACGTTTTACACAAAAGTAAAACAATTTCCAGAAAAAGTGGACATTTTTAGATCAATAAACTTCACTGCCAAAATCAGATGATTATGTCTCAAAACTGTTGCCCATTTACCGTATTTTGTATATTCTAAAAGAGCACTTACAGTCCTCTTTTATAATTACAATTGAGACACAATTTTACACAAATAAAAAATGTAAAGATTATTTACTGCATCTGAATAGTTCAGCTACAAAAGCTAAATGCATCGACCTTAAAACAATTTGTTAATTTCTCTTGGCAGACCTTGCTTTGGCATGCAAATCGTTTTTTCATTGCTTTTTATATCTATGGGTAATAAGCCATTTATTTACCAGATTTTCCTCTGATGTAAATAAATGCAATGGCCCATTAGTTAGAGATGCAGGGATTCAGAGGCAAGTTTCATACTCTCTAGCGAGAACAGATTTTACATCATTACCGAAAAGCAATTCAATTGACCTAACAAAAATAGTATTTGTAGCAGCCATATTTCACAATTTTGTGTTTTACAGTAGTGGGGGTGCATTTACTAATTTAATAAATTCAGCTCTATGCGCCTCCACCATGACATGTCCAACTGATGAACGCTAGATAGTACTTAAAGTATTTAAGATTAACTAATCACCAACTGTATAACCAATGCTATTCTACCAATCCTACTTTGATACCTGAGAGATGTTATTCATTAAAAATCAACAAAGCTCTTTCAATGGTCATGGGCAATAACTATCGATTGGAAAATGGTAATATAGTACCCATCTACAACATCGCTGACAAAACCAAACCACTTAATTATAGACCAATAACACATCTATTACATATAAGATTATGGAGACAAGGATAAGAACTAAACTAGAGGATCATCTACATATATAGTAATATGACTCCATAGGATTGTCAATATGAACTTAGAAATGGCACACCATACATGAATAAATTGTTACTGTATAACAAGTAACAACAGTAATCAATGGACAGGATATACTTGTAAGTCTGATTAGATTTTCAAAAGGCTTATGATTATGTTCTTCATAAAATATGCAGATAGGAACACAGCTGGAAGCAGCTTTATTTAAAATCCTAATTTATATTAAAAAATAAGAATATAGTCTTGTATAACATATAACTCACATTTCAGTAAACTTTTTAGATAAGAGTTATACACCATAAGATGTGATGTGTTTTTTCAGAGCTCCTTCTAAAGAGTAGTGCATAATCTTAATATTTTCCCATGCTACTTCAATTACTATAATTGTACCAAACTAGAAAGGTAGACAAGTAGAGTCAGGTTAGACTGCAGAAAAGTGTGGCTTCAGTGCGGGCAGCACTGGCAAGTGTTTATTTCAGTTTTATTAAGTACTGTGTTCCTGAACTGTTGACACTGGCACTGAACCCCAACAGAGCACTTTGTGGTAAAGACCACCCTAGGGAACTGTGTTCCACAATGACTGAAAGAGAATGATCCACACTGTCCTTGAAAAATAAGCCACTGTTAATAGAAACCAATTCCAAACTGTCTTGCCAATTGCTGTCCAAGCGCTACATAAGTCAGTTGGATGTACAATTTAGCTATGAAAAATAAATAAAAAAACACTCTCATGATTTGTACTGTAAGTATAAATTCAAGGAACCTAGAGCCACAGGTCAAGTGTGACCATGGTAAAAATGATTAAAAAATGCTTTGAAACAGTGCACTTTTACGAGACTATGACTTGATCCATAAAAATATAGTATCAACACCTCTGACGCTATTCCCAACCTGAAATGTGGTCCCCCCTTAGGTGTTTAACATAAGAGCTAGAGACTTGCTGTGCCTGGAATGTAGGGTTTTAACTCACAACCTTCCAGTTATGAGTCTACCCAGCTACTGCTCTGTGATTGTAGCTTAAAAGTTTTTATATTCTGAATTTCCCTACAATTTTCAAAAATCAATGTCCAGATACATGGAATTGAATATTTCCCTGATTCACACAAAAAGAAAGAATAAAATTGCATTCAGAAGATGTCAATAATATACATAAGGCATTACCAGAGAAAAAATACAAAGGCTGTAACTGATGTTATTTTCCAGATTGAAATTGGTACTATTTTTAAATCATTCTACATCAATGTAAAATGTCTAAGAACCATATTTGCTTAATTAACCTTGAAATATTGTATGTTCATTAACCTTAAGATATTGCAGCAGGAGGGGAGTAAGATGGCTAGGATAACTGTAGAATTGATACAAAACATGGACAGCATAAATACTTCTGGAGAAATCTGCTACTTTGCAGCCTCCTTTTAGGATCTGACCCTTACCTACAGCAAGGAGGAAAGAAGAAGGTGACAGAACAGAAAGTAAGATCTGAATTAAGAAACCAGGCAAATATTTATTTTATTTCAGATGTGGTTTCTTTATCATTGAGGATTCTGGTAGCTGCTATGCAGCTATTACTATGTTTTCATATTCCTTCTTTATGTTTCATTGGTGTTCTTGTGTTGAAAAATAACTGTTTTGCACCACTGGTTTATCTGTCATCCAACAATACCTACTTAAAAGAGCTCTACGGTGCCCCTTGTGGTATCACACTACTTATTTTTCTTATGCTGACTCATTAAACAGCTAAGGATTACAAGGAAAAATTATACAGGCTAAGGTTAAATCAATCACCAGTAGGTGTGTGGGTTAAAGTTATAATCTAATAGTAGTATAGTAACTGAAAAGGAATGGAAGTGCTATGGTTTCCTCTCCCTGATCTATACTGTAATCTATGGACTACAGCCAACCTCTGACATCTGACATTTAATTCCGAAGGAAACTAGATCTAAAATAATGGAAAGATAATAAGCGTGTTGAGCACAGATAAATCTACTCTAAAAATGTATGAATACATTGGATACACACAGCTGGGATTAGAAAAAGGAGAAGCCAACTATTATATATAAACAGAACTATTAGTTTTTCAATAGTTATACAATTTGTTTTAAGAATTACTGCTTATCAACATACGTTCTTATATATTCTGAAATAGGGAGGCTCACTGGCGCAGTGGTTAGCATTTCTTCCTTGCACTGTTATGGCCCTGTGTTCAGTTCCAGACCTGAGGTGCTATCTATGAGGAGTTTGTATGTTCACCTTGTGCTCATATGGGTTTCCTCCAGGTGTTCCTTTTTCCTCTCACAGTCCAAAGACATACTGGCAGATTAATTGGCTCCCGGAGAAAATGTGTCCAGGTGTGAGAGTATGCATGTCTGTCTTTGCCTGTGGCCTGTGATGGACTGGCATCTCATCCAGTGTACCCTGCCTTGTGCTCGTTGCTTGCTGGGATAGTACAACTTTAAGTTATGTCAAGAGGCCTGAAGCCCATTTAAAAAAAAAAACTTTTGAGAGATAAACTTTAATTATATTCATATGCTCAGCTGCAGTCCTTGCATATTTCGCAGTGTGAAAAAAAAGACTTCCACTTGATTGTATTTTTCTATGAGAAAGTTCTTTGACATACAATAATTAAAGTTAAAACACCCCTCCTAGTATCTAAACTTTAGTTCAGACAACTGACTTCGGTGAGTGTTTTTTTTTCCATGTGGTGTTTTTTCCAGGGGGGGGATTGATTGATTAGATATTTAAAATCTTCTGTCAGCATGTTCTGAAAGTACTTTGCCAATTATAAATGCATACCTTGTTTGTGTTAATTATATTAAAGACAACCTCCCTTTGATCTCCTGCTGATGATGCACACCATCTGGCTAACTGAATGGCAAGTTAAGGCAGGCAAGTGTCAGTTCATTTTGCATTATATAATGCAAAAACCCTCTATCTTGCCAGGGCTGTGATGCAAACCTGTAACCATGGCAATACCTGATCAGCAACAGCGCGAGCAAGTTTGTCCATCCTGGAGCCAGCTTCAGCAATCTTCTTTGCTGCATTAATCACATCTGAGGAATTCTTCAGTGGGCCTTTGCCTCTGCAACAGTCCAGTGCAAATTAATGTTATGCATAAGATTAATAAGACAGCCCATGTTATCAACAACAATGCCAGTTGTTGGGAAAACTACAGCACAAAAAGCACATCTAATAGCAAATATACATTATATAAACTGACTTGTTGTTTTCCCATGTTTTAGTTTGGAATATTTGAAATGTGTAGTAAAAGGGTTGTTTTAGTTTAGTGTAGTTACAAAAGCAAAGAACAAAAAATAGATAAATATGAAGCAACAATCAAAAATGCATGCCAGTTGTACTAGCCATCTGTATGCACATAAATATGCTTGGCATCCTTGTAAAGCAGGACGAGACAAAAGTGAATGTCACTTCTTGATCATCAACACAGTGGGAGAAAAGATTCCTCTGCTGAAGAAAAGCAGTAGCCACAGCAGTAATCAACACAGGGGTAAGAAAATAAAGGCTATATGAGCAGACAATATTTATTACACCACACAAGCTGCCAATATGTCGTGTCCAGTTCTGATGACACCAGTTCCAAAAAATAATGCAGGAATGATTTTCATAAATGTACACTTACAGACTCAAAAATACTAACATCATAGAAAACAGCACAACAGAGATCACACAGCTAGAACAGCGGAGTGCTTCTTATTATAACAATTTGCAAACATTAGAAACAAACCAAACAAGACACTGAAAACACTGGGGTTAGCAACCACAGATTAAAGAAACAACGAGAGGTTTCTTTATCAACATGTTAACATAATATTTTCATTTATTTTAAGTCAAATACGAATAAAAAGATCCTACTTCTTCTGCAGATAACTACTGTTTCCAGCATTAAATATACTGTATACCAAAATCTTGGAGTGCGGCATACTTACTCTTGTACCCTGATCTCTGGTTATTCTTCTGTGAACAAAAAATTGACATCACTTGCTTATGCCTTTTTAAATAATCCTTCAATAAATTTCAGTGAATGACCCAGTGCAGCTTATTGTGTGTTACATATATTTAAACCTAGAAAATGTATTTAAATGTATACATCTTTCTGATTTTGTTTTTCTGGTTAAAGCATCCAGAGCTCTATGTTACTGAAGATGTAGGGACAGAAGATGTATAAGGACACTATTTTTTAGTAAATAGTGGAAAATAGTGGAAAATTCAGGAAGAAAGGGTTGAAGAAGAGAAATACCTTTTTAGGTAATTTTTATTTAAAATTTATTTATTTATCTTTATTTAAAATTTAAAAAATAGAATTAAATATATATGCTATTGCTCTGGAAGTGGTCACTCAGATACCTTTATTTATTAAACTTAAAATACTCTCAAGTCAATCCAGTACATAAAGGCAAGAAGTTTAATATATGAAAATAATACTTAGAACTCAGATAACATTCCTTCAACATTAAATTGAATTATTTAAAAAAAAACTGGATTACAAAAATGTGTTTACATTAAAAAACATCTCTTCTCAATTATCCTTCAGAAATATACAAAGCATCAAAAGAAACATTACTTATAACTGCATCAGGAAAATGACAATCTATTTTGTAGCAGTTACACTGTCATTTATTGAATAGCCATGATATAAAGAAGGTAAATTCATTATGCTATACAAATTATATTTGTCATTAGCAGGGCTGATCAACAGGCAGTCTATTGTGAAAGTCACAGGATAGTTTAGTGCCTTTGTAACAGTCAAATTTCTTCAAGTGCATCATGGTTGGACATGAATGATCAATTAATCAAAATGAAGTGAAAAACACTTAATCAATATCTGAGGTCTGTATACTTTATTCTTTAAAACATTAATCTGTGATACTGTATGTTTCTTTTGATACTCGGTATACATGTTAGTGATTTAAGGCTTTTAGTATTTGAAGTATGTTTCTCAGGGGGTAGAAAATGCAGAATATGAATGAATAGCTCTAATTGTAGAATTGTAGAATTTCTATGTGAATTTCAGAACTGAATGAAAACAAATTGTGAGCAATTTAAGGATGAAAACAAACATGCACAAAGTGCTGTATGCATATTGTACTATTTGCTTTTGGAATAAAATATAAGATTTATAACCACCAAAAAAGGGCCAGGCTTGGTTTCTCAGCAACAAGACACACAGCTCATGTCGGAATTGCATCAGTGGTTATTAAAGAATGGGTGCAGGAAATGGATTCAAGGAGTTTGGTGGTAGTGACCGTGAAATGTCAACTGAAAGACAAAGGCAGAGAGCCACTGAAATACCCCGCAGCAGAAATAAAACAGCTGCAAAAGAGGAATGTCTAATGGTTAGCTATCACCTGCTTCTTGTGATTCTAAAGAAATGAAAGTGCCACTTTTTTATCCCATAGTAGAGGTTTGAAATGCACCACACTTCGTCAGAAGTAGAAGCTGGTCATGAGGGAAATGTGGTGTATGGTAAAACACGACACAGTTGCAAAACGACTGCAACCTGAACATAAACCATGAGAAAACGTGGGCATACTGTGTTACCCAGACTAACAATTGATGACCAGCATCATTAAACTGGTATACAGTAGTATACAATAACATTAGTGGTAGGATGTAGTCCAACAGTCACATGTGCCCTTCTCAGGCCAGTCTCAAATCTGTCTTATGTGGCAGATCTTTATCAGTCTCCTGAAGTGATCATGATCAATATGGCAAATGTACAATTGACACAACTGATTGATTCATTCATCAGAGTTGTGACACTGTTATATACTAATAAGACAACATTTTTCAGCATCATCTTGTGGCCATTACTTATTGTTTTTTTAATCATTTTCATCTCTGTGTTATTACTGTGTTAGGAATAATCATGGAAACAAAAACGTGTATTTGGAGCAAATTATACATTTTAAATTCACAACTTGTGAATGTGGTATTACACAGCCATTATACAACGTCACTGGATTTCAAGCAATTCACCTGATCATGCTACACCAGATCTGAAAGCTGTATACATTATGCATAGGAAGAGATATTATTGGTGAACTTTCAATAGTTGATGAAGTCTGTGGCACTTGGAAAAAAAGATGTCACATGAAAAGAGTAAGGGAATCAAAGCTGAAGTTAATGAAGTCTACTCACTTAGAAAGGTACACCTCAACTTAATGTTTTATCCAGTGTTATACATATTTCTCTGTGTGAGCTTTGTTTAACTGGTATAGCTGGCAATAGAATTATGCAGGAAGAAATGACAAACTTTCCAGAAGTGATAGAAAGTTCTCAGACTAAGTAGAGATCTCACAAATCTTTGCAACAAGTACAGCTGTTAACATTTCTTGTATAACAGAAAGAGCACAAAATGGTCTCACAGGGCTGTTTCATTTTATTTGAAACCTTTGCTTCATCCTTTTTTGTTTCCCCTCAGCAAAATAGTAATTTTGTAAGTTTGTGCAATCCTGTGCATATGATAAGCACCATGAAAATGTGGAAATAAAAATGTTGGCCAGGTTTATACTACAGGTCTTACTGTACTTTTATGTCCGGTTCGCAATTATTTCTTAACATTCCATAATGTTGCAGTATTTCACATAATTTAAAACACACATTTTATTAAAATGGTGTTTTAAATCCTTACAACATATGAAAAACATGTTCTGAGGGCTGCCAACTGCAAGTTCTAGTCTTTTACATTGTGTGAATTCCAATGATAATATTGACTTTGGGGATTCTTTTATCTGAAAGATCATGTTAATTAGTACAATCATATGCTCCGGAATAATCCTGATCAAACACATATATACAATTTTAAGGTTTCAAAATTACTGCTATTTACTGTATATACTGTATGTTACTGTATAGATTTTTTTTTTTACTTCAGGGAGTTCACACTTTCAGGGAGCATCCTCAGTAGGTTTATGAGCAGATTTTCAATTCTCAAAGTGGGGTTTTCTTATTATGACCCCAATTCAAATAATGCATGCGGAAGATTTAATGTTTTCCTGAAAGATCATGAAGTCCCTGGACCCCTGGATCCTTGACTGCATCAGCATCTTAGGGGCCACCTTATGTTATATTTACCTGGTGAAGTCTGTCATTTCCATCATGATCATGCACATCTGTTTCGCCAGCACAATGATGTCGTTGCCATTGTCGTCCCATTTGGCCACTTCGGCATCCAACTTGCACTTCTCCTGGCGGAAACTTTCCACCTGCTCCGCAATTTTAGCTTTCTCTTCTTGTGGCAGCTGAGCCATAATAGCCTGTGTTTATGAGAGGGAATCACCAAAGGAGAAAGCTATTAGACAAGGAACATAAAATAGAGCATGTGGTCCATATTCTCACAGATCTTTCATTAACAAAATAGGGATTTTGAGAGCATGAAGTATTTTGGCTTTTACAATGGATTCGTGGGTGCCAGGGCTGGAGTTTTTCTTTTAAACAGTTTGATTAGAAAAGTCTGGCAACTTTTCGAGGGGTTGTTATTTCTTCAAACCTCAATGCTTTTCAGAATTGCAGATTTGTAATCTTTCATTTTGTCAGCTTAACATACATTGGTGCTGATTTCTGTCATTCTGCTCTTAAGCTTTATTATGCATTTGCCAACCAGTTTCTAGAGCCAGAGCCTAACCCGGCAAGCAATTGGCACCAGGCAGGATTCTTCCTTGATAGGACCCAGTCCAGCACAGGGCACACACAGAGACAAACACACTCACACCAGGGCCAATTTTCCCAAAAGACAATTAACCTACAGTACTACTATGTCTTTGGATTGTGGGAGGAAATTGGAGCACCTAGAAAAAACCCATGTGAACACATGGAGAACGTACAAACTCTAGATAGTATGGCAAACAATTGAACCCAGGGCCCAAGTGATGTGAGACAGCAATGCTAAACACTGCGCCATAATGCTGTCTAATTATACATTGGAATTATTCAAATTATTTTTAAACCTCAATTTATTCTACAATTATTGGGAAATCCCAATGTTTCTGAAAAATAGAGTCCATTTTAATGTAATACTGCAAAACAAAAGGCATCAAACCTTACTATATTGCATGTAACTCTCTTAGTTGAGTTCACATATATTTCTACTTTTTTACACATACATACATATATAGTACATATTGCACACATTGTTATCCTTTATATCAGTTTAAAGCTGGTCTCAGAATATACCTTATGCCAGAGCCCCTAATAGTTGTAACTTTAAGTCTGAAATACATAAATATTTCACTTTTTCTCTTAAATAAATAATGCCATTGTTCAACATTATTTAGGGGTGAAAACATTACCTGGACTCAAATTAATTTTTGCATTATTTATAATTTTAATTAAGCCCTGAAGCAATAATTAAAATTGATGAAGTATCAATTATTTAGGTGTGCTTTTCATTGATTTCAACACATCTGTCTTAGAGAATCTCTTCGCAAGACTCAGGCTTACCCTCATCATTTTATTGCAGAGAGTGGCAACTAAAATTAAAGTAAAAAATAAGACTGAAAATGACATTTACTTCATTCGTAAGAAATTAATGTTTTGGCACAGATTTACCCTCAAGAGCACAACAGACAAGCCATTACTCATTTACAATTAGGGCCCGACTTGAGCAAGGTTGTGCTGCTGGGGAGGAGGGAAATGAGAGAATATAAAGTGACAATGTTAGTTACTATTTTTCACTTGGATTTGAAATGTAACTCTTCGGGGAGGGCAGAATGTAGTGAACGATATGATAAGTCCTATTTTAATTTTATGAAAAGTGTAAATTACATCACATTCATTATAAATGCAATATTGTTATGAATAATATAAACAGTACAATTGTCTATAATTCTGAGCTGGATTGATAACTCTTTGCTGCAAAGATTAAAAAAAATTAACAAAAGGTTTTCATATTTAATTGGGAAGAGGTGTAAAGGGGGAAATGAATTTCTTTGCCCAAATGTCTTTGGGTTGATAGTAAAGCATGGCAGTCTTGAGTCAGTGTTCCACTGATGAATGCTAGCATGGGCAGAAACAACATAAGAAAATTACACATAGCACATATTTTAAAATAAAAAGTAAAGATCTAGATCAATTATTCGTTTTTCTAGTGATGATAGTTTTAATTTTGAAATGAGAGGACTTGAGATATGTCATTATTTGGGGTAAATGCAATAGTTGTTAATTCAAGAAGATATCTGAACAAAACTTCAGTCATGGACTTTGCATTAATGCTTTGCTATTAAGATGATACTTTATTTTAAGGGTCCACACTTACAAATTAATGTACCTTGGAATACCACCTAATAAGAATGCAACAGCTGAATGGTAACTTTAAGACACCACACTATTAATTATGAATCATATCACATGAATTATTGACAAATGAAGGTGAGAATGTCAAATGAAGCAGTCACAATATATTCCTAAATTATATATTATATAACTTATATATTCCTAAGTTACTTTTAAACCCACTTCTCCATTGTACTGGAATGCATAGTTTTGCTCAGAAGGTAGTGCTTCATCTTTGCCTAATGGTGCATTGCTTTCCACAGTTATGTAAGATCCATTCAACCTGGATTAATCTTTAATTAGAACTCAGTATACTACTTTATTGCATGGCGAAATCATACAAAAGTACACTGTTTTGCCTGTTCACTTGTGAACAACTCACCACTGCAATGGAAAGAAAATTATTCCAAACACAAACCCCACTGGGCCAAATGGAAAATAAGAAAAGATGAAAAAATCTGACAAGGGAACAACTCACTTGTAATTTATCGAACCTGCAAAAAGTAAAAAGAAGGGAAAAGAGGAGGGGGGAAATACTGCCTGGTAAACAGGGCTGATTGGTATGTCAGAAAAGCGAGGTGCTAGGTAGGGCTTTTCAGAATTCACTTATCCACAAATCCCCTTCCTGCTTACTGATAACAACAAGAGCAGGCCTCTGGTGCTTAATACTGCAGCAAATCCTTCCTGTACATTGCATGCCAATACACTCAGCAGCTTTTCTACGTCTGCAAGGATTAAGCTGTTTTCTACGTTTCCTCACAGAGAAAGCAACTTGAAATGACTTTAATTTGCTTCATTTGAAATAAACTGTCCACCCTCTGAGTTAAGTTTTATGGCTGACCTGTGGTTGTTGGTATTGGATCATTTGTTAGTTCTGTGCTTCTTCTATTCTCAATATTTTTTAGCAAATACCTCAGAGTATTGTGAGCTTCCATGTTTGTATATAATAAGCACACAACCAAATCTATGCTACCAACAATTCTGTTGTTCTTACAGAACAATTCATAAAAGCATGCAAATACAGTTTTTATGAAGATAAAGCCCATCAAGAAAATACTAACACTGAACTGCTACTAAAAGTTTATCCTTTCTGGAAGACATTTTTACATTAATGATACAGTACCCAAAGGGCTAACCAGTCATTCTACAATATCTGATATGCTGAAAGTACAACATGCATCATAGTTCATTACTTTAACATAACTGTCCATTCACTAGTCAAGCAAATACAGTATGGGAGAAAGAAATGAAAAGCCCTTTCTTACAGTATATCTAGTTATGCATACAGGTTGGTACACTGTTGGTTTCACCTGTTTTTACAGTATGTTTGTATGTTATTCTAAACAGCTATGTGATTAGATTGGCTGCATCTGTGCCAGAGGCCACAAGTTCACATCGTGTGATACATTTTGTTCTGGAGCAGCAAGTGCCTCTGAAATGATGCAAATTTATATCTATTACTCATTTCAAATTTCAAAAGAAGGCTACACCTGCTGAAGTTATTAAAATGCTGTCCAGTTTTGTAACATGTTAATTTAAATATGAAACTTTAAAAAAATACTTCTGGCATTTGGAAACGGTTATTTGTGGATTTGTCAGAATTTGTAGTGGGTCCTCACAGTTGGATGCAATGTAGATAATCTTAGACATTTTACAGTGATTTCTTATATAAGAACACAATACATCATCAGAGAATTTAATACCTATCATTTTAAAATGTCAAGAAAAAAGGATATTGGTTACAGATAAATAAAATATTTCAATAGCCTTGAAATAGACTTGTCTTTTATTACTCTGAAGATTCTTTTTTTAAAATAAGATTTTTTAAAAGCCATTTTATTTCCATCCATTTTCTAACTTCTCTACCCAGTACAGAGTTGCAGGGGTCCCCAGAGCCTAACCTGGCAAAAAATGGGTACAAGACAGGATATTTCCTGGATGGCACACAGTCCAACAAGGGCACACATACAAATATACTCACACCACAGCCAGTTTTACCAGAAGCCAATTAACCTACTAATATGTCTTTGGACTGTGTGAGGAAACTGGAGCACCACTTGGGAAACCTGTACAGACACAGGGAAAACATACAAACTCCACATCAATAGCACTCTGGGAACTGAACCTAGGGACCTGGTGCTGTAAGGCAGCCTTGTGATTTGCTGTGCCATCATGCTGCTGTGCAGCCTATAGAATTTACATTGAAACTATATAGTTTAGGTAGTTTGGAATTTGCTTTCAGTACAGCAAAGAACACAGATGAGACATACATACAGTACAACATATACAGTACAAAATTAAATAGGACAGAAGACAAACAAACATCCTCACATACAAATGTAAACAACTATCCATATAGCAGCATAATTATACAATGAAATTCAGAGTTCAACGTGAATTCAGATTTCATATGGCAGTGGGAAAGCAGCTGAGGTTGAAGTGGGCAGTCCTTGAGAGGAGGGATTTGAAACTCTTTTGTCATTTCATACACTTGATATGCCCCTTACAAGAAAGAGTACCTGTGTAAATGCTAATTGGATCATTTGTGGCAGGAATAGCCCAACTTTGGTGCACTGGGCAGGGTTTATCACTCACTTACCCGTGCACTCTGTCCTGCAATAAGCTGGTCATCTTCAGTCTGAACACTTGTCCTGCTACGCGCATCGTAGTCCTCTTGCTCAAAGTCAGAATCATCCTCCAGCTCTTCTGGTGTCTATAGGGAACAAAATCAACAAAGTATACGTCAAACTACTTTGATGCACAGTGAAGGGTAAAGCAATAAGCCAAGGTAGACTCAAGGAGACTTGTAATGACTGTTGAATTCGGACAACTCATGGCTTTCAGAACAGGTGTATGTAGTACAAAAACAAAAATTCAAACAAATAGGGCTAAATAGCTTCAACTGAAGATGCATCTTCTTTAGTTCTAAATTATTAAATGTCTAGTAGAAATTATGGAATATGTCCAGTGCATATTCCATAAGAACCTTTAACACTGTATAATACAACAGTCAAAAACTGAAAGATATGATACATTTAAGGGCATCCACACTGTTTACAGATTTGTTTCTGTTTTAATAAGAAAACATTTCTGGTCATTCAAAAACAGGAAGTGATTTTCTTCAGCTTTTATTTCTTGCAGTAGTTTAAAGAATTATTACACCTTTAAAGATGTTAAAAAATGTCATGACCACAACTTTTTTTGTGGCTAAACCTCTTAAAGGTTTTGTATTAAACCCTCCTCAAAAGATTTGTCTATGATCACTTACAAAACCTCAAAGTCTAACACTGCTGCACGTTAAAAGCATATTCCAAAAATGTCTTTCACCTACTGGTATCGACCACAATGAGAGTACCCTGAGAGCATTTACAAAAACTAATGCTTCCCTATCTTTGTGGTTTCTCTAACAACTTGAGTATCCACTTCAGTTGAAGAGCAGTCTGGATTAGCCTTAAGATGTATATAGAGCTTCACAACACACTCCAGCACCAACAGGAGAGCTCTCTCATCAGCATATTCAATACAGTACGGACGAACCGTGCTTTTAAAAAAAGACTTATAAGAGACTCTTGAAATACACAAATGTTTGAGAGAAGGTAGAACAGAGTTCACTTATCTGACATGCTTATGTGGAACATTTGATTATTCCAAGGCAGTTTCATCCGACATGTAAGATTAGGTACTGACGGCACATTTAATGTTCCATTTTTATGTTTTATGTACGTTTTTATGTACATACATTTCTTAGTGATTCAGTTTGGAAATATGAATTTGATAAACAGTATTGAAAATAACCTAGATACAATACTTTGATTGACTTCGGAGTATAGAAAATAAAATATTTTCTAACCATATATAATGTACTGCATCTGAAAAATTATTATTGGATTCATTGTTAATTTGCATTTTCAGTTATCATCTATGTATTAAGAATGAATTAATGTTATAATTTATTGAATATAATTATATTGCTTTTCAGAATTTACTGAATATCTTGAGAGTACAGTATATTCAAAGGAATCTGAGAATAATCATCAATAATCATCAATAATCATATAATCTCTCACATAATTTAAACTCACAATACCTAACCTTTTTCCCCATGGGTAGAGTGTCCATTTTCTTTAGGAAAAGAAAATGTAATGAGGACTTTAAATGGTATTTTCCAACTATCCTTACAATGTGCTAAATATGACTTTTACCAAGACTTGACCATTGGAGATTTAGTATAAGATATTACTGTATATTACTCAACTGTGTGAACTTTGCAATACCCCTTCTTGATTTTATAATATAATAACTGATTATATAGGCACGAGAGAATATGTTTGCTTTATTTTATATAAAAATGATATGAATCAAATAAACTGTTTTGAATATACATATTATATTGAATATTAAAGACAATACCTCAACACCTGCCAATCACCTGATCAATAGGGTATATAAGTTACCCGTGCCCCTCATTCAGCAATTTTTTGTGTTGAGCAAGAAAATAACTGAAATCAGGATTATTTGTACAAGAACATAAAAATGTTACAAATGAAAGAAGGCCATCTGACTTGTTAGGTTGCTAGTAGGTAATTAATTTCAGGATTTTATCCAGCCATTTCTCAAAAAAAGCCAGGTTACAACATGGCTGGGTAACTTGTTCCAGACACCCACACAATTGTTGTGTAAAGAAGTGCCTCCTGTTCTCAGTTTTGATGCTTTGTTTTTGTTTTTTTTAATGTTTAAAAAATTGACCAACAAAGTACAGATTTACAGAACATTTTTTTGCTTTAAAAACTGCAGTCATGACACTTTAAAGCCCAATATTATTTGTATTGGGCAAAATATTATTTGCCCAATACACAACCAACTCCATACATTCAAAGAAACAAAAAAATCAAAAAGAAAGAAGTAAAAAGATAATTAATATGAATGAAAAATGGAAATGATTGTATATGATTGTACTAGTATTCAAACCCTTTGCTATTGCAAACCTAAATTAATGTAGGTACACAACATTACCTTAAGGAGTCAAAACATTAGTTGAGTGGACTCTAGGTATATGTCATAAGAGTGGTTTACATAATTTCAGAATAAATATACCTGTGTGGTTCTTTGTTCAGGTGGTGAATTCCAAGCAAAGACTAAAACAGAGCATTAATAGCAAGGATAAAAAAAATAGTTTCTGTTTATCTCTGTGAACACGATCTACTCAGTCGTTAAGACATGGATCATACTTCTCAGAGAGTGTCTTTATCAAGCTGTTCCTTCAAACTGAGCAACTGGGGAAGAAAGAAAATAGGGGAAGGATGTCAATGTGAGGCCAATGAGAACTTTGAAAAAGCTACAGCTTTTGTAACTAACCCAACACAGCACATCTTCTAATCAATACTATCCCTACAGTCAAGCATGGTGGTAGCATCATGCTATGGGGATGCTTCTCATCAGCAGGGAATAAAAAGATTGTTTGGACAGAAGAAAAAGTGGACAAAGCAATGTATAGGCAAATACTAGAAGAAAATCTGTTTCAGTCTGCTAAAGGTTTAGAAATGTGGTGAAGATTCACCTTTCAGCAGGACAGTGTACTAGGACAAAGCTACAGTGTAGTGCAGTAGTTCTCAAACTTTTTGGACCAAGTACCACCCCTGATCAAACCAAAGGGATAGGGTTACCATAAGTCCGGATTTTCCCAGACATGTCCTCTATTTTGATCCTTTTATCTCCGTCCGGGGGGTATTTTCAAATATCCAAAAATGTCTGGGATTTCAACCGCTTTATTTGCACCAGGAAGAATAATTAACAAAAGTTTTAAAGATAGTAGTTGAGGAGGTTAGAAAGAGAGGGAGACAATTTATTAACTTCACAGATTTTACGAAATCTATGATTATATCATGAAAGAGCAAAATCGGATGCCAAAATCATTGTCTTTACTCAGTCTGTGCAGTGCAGAAACATTCCCTCGAAAGGCTCCCTATTTTGTTTCTTGTTTTCCTACCCTCAAACACAATGCCAAAGCGATAGCACAACAAAAAAATAAATTTCCGTGTTTTAGAAGTGGCAAAGAAGACTGGGAAGCTGAATGTTTGGTGTGTAAGCCTTGTACTTTTGTCTCTATGGCAAAGGTGTACTTGTCTTGCAAGCTCATGTTAACTCAGACAAACACAAAAAGGCAATTAGAGGAGAGAGTTCGACAACCAAATTAACAGATTATTTAGTAATTTTTTTCAGCAAAACAGAGGATAATGTTATTGCAGCAGAGGCGACTTATGCATTTCACACAGTTAAACATCATCACAGTTACTTTACCAATGAACATAAAACGTGGGATATTTTGAAAACCCTCTCCATCCTGACCCCTTTTCCAGACAAACCAATAGGAAAGTTCCTCAGGGTGTCCTCTTTTTTATGTTCAAATATGGTAACCCTAGTGGCCAATGTATAATCCTCCTCGTTCTCAATGGTTGTGCGTGATCTATTGGAGCTGGCGTCCGTATATTCTCTTGGCGTATATTCTTTTCAGCCATGACTTGATTTTTGCGAGCTATTCATTTTCGATCACTTGTTCTCTTGGGAAATGTGGCTATGCTGTCTCTCTGAAAGCTCGAGAGGAGTATGAACACTCAAGTATTAGCGTGCGCTGTATTGACGTAGCTAAGTGCATAGGCTGCGTATTTAGCACATAAACTAATTTTATTAAATAGAAAATATGAAAACCCATCTCAAGCTTTCTGAAACCTATTAAGGAAATCGCAGACGAAAAATGTACAAATATTAAAAAAATATATACTGATGGAAAAAAAGAAATGCAACTCCTTCTCCTCCACATACTGGCCCACCCATCTGCGTGGAACAGGTTGAAGAGTGACTCATCTGTGAAGAGGACCTGATGCCACTGCTGTCGAGTCCATCGCAGCCTCTATCTGGCCCAAGCCAGATAGGGGTGTGGTGTCTAGGACGTGTGAACAGAGGGCCTTAGTCAGGTTGCCATGCTCTAAGACTAGCTGCATGGAGCCTCACTGTCCTGTCACTGATACGGGTTTTGTGTCTGTCGGCAGTATCAGCAGCAGTATGGGTGGGAGATCTGAAACGATCTCTCAGATGGACCAGTCTGACGTATCAGTCCTGCTCTGATGTGGTCAATTTGGGGTGACCGGATCTTGGATGGTCATCTGTCCTGCCTGTCTGCTGAAACCATCTGTGCAGTCGAACACAGTGAAACAGCTTACTCCATAGTGTTTTGCAACGCTGGCACATGACATGCCTGCCTGAGCATGTCAATGGCCCTCTCCCTTGCTTCTGCTGACATTCGAGGCATTATGGAATGCACAGAAAACTGACTAAGTGTGGCCTTTTTCTTGCAGTGACCTAAGCTTTGAATTAAGGCCTTTTTAAAGGTGACCTGATAAGTCATTGTTCCACATGGATCTCATTGGGTTAAAGTGCACCTAACGAGCGTTCGTGTGATTGGCAAGTGGCAATGCCTCACTACACAAGCTGTATTGCTGGTCAGAGGGCTTAAAACAAACGGACAACATTTGTGAAACTACATAAGCTATAACTATAGTATTCTCATTCCTTAAAATGTTGCATTTCTTTTTTCCATCAGTATATATGCATCATTTTGTAATTTTACAAAATGTGACATCTTAGAAATAGTCAATACTTTTGCAAGGCACACTATTTAATAGTTTAATAAGAGTCTAATTTCAAAATAAATAAATT